TTTCTTATTTATTTTAGTTTTTGAAACTTTTAAATTATTGATTTGTGTAATAATATTTTATTGATGTGTAAGTTGTTAATATCTACATAATAAAAGTATTGTTATGTGAATATAATTCATCTATTCTATTATACATTTTATTTCCGTTATTTTTCCTTTTGCATGTTATGTATTATTATTTTTATTTTTTTTTTATCTTTCTCCTTCGACAATAGAAATATTTGTCCAGTGTTTCCTCACTAATCAACATGAACTGCCACAGTTTCTCATCTTGTATAACTGATTTTCTCCCACTTCCAGACCAACCTTGTTTTTTGAGGTTTGTTTTGTCTGTTTACTTGATTTGATCATATGGATCATTTCACTGTGTGTCTCCAAGTGATTAAATGTAATTACAACAGTAATTTTGTATTGCACTTGAGTGTATGACACGTACTCTGTATACAAAGTTTGACTGCTTGATTGGTACAACAATACTTTGTAAATCAATAAGGTTCTGTATGTTGCATAACCAGGTTTACTGCTTCAGACTGAAAAAAATAACTGTAAAAAAGTTATTTCTATGAATGACCTTATGAACATTGCATGAAATCATTTTGTGATAAAAGCATTTCATATCAGTCGATGTCCATAATTATTGTTAATCTTTTGTTTTATTTATCTGAAATACTGCCAAACTGGTGGCGTGACTTATGCAGAGTTTTCACTTCACACTGTTTATTTTTAAGCAGTTAAAAGGCAAAGTGGTGAATCCTTAAACTACTGCTGGGCAAATTACTAAACAGGTTGTTGCTGGGTAACCAAAGAGGGAGTAAGTTAGTTGATGTAACAACATTTCTTAGCTGGCCGTGAGAAGTTGAGTAGGGAGTCTTTCTTGTGTCTACATCCCACAGAAATAAAAAGCTCATAAACTAAAGAGTTTTTTGAGTTGGTAATATTATTAGAAATGCTTTTGCTTTTTAATTTAAAAAAATAAATAACATTGTTTTCATTATTTGAACCAAAATCCATGTCTCTAGGGAAACCAGGCATAAAAATATTTCTGTGAACTAAGAAATTAACAAATCAACTCAACTGAAACATGATTGTTAGCACATCAAATTACTGTAAAACATATTCTTTTTAAAATAT